TTCGAGTACAGCCGGCGAAGCTGAGTGTCGCCTCTACTCAGTGCAAGGAATCCTCTGGAGTACGAAATATACGCATTTAATTAAAACCAAGAGACGAAAAAAGGCGAGGTTAGGGAGGAATGGTGGTGGCACTCACACTTGTCCGCCGCCTCCGCCACCACTGCCTGAAGTGGCAGCGTAGACGGTCTGCTCTGCGGTTGCCTCGAGGTACTGCGTGGGGAGAAGCGTCTGTACAGCGGGGGCACTTGCCCCATTGCCAGCTGATTCCGTCACCAGGGTTGAGCCATCCGCACCAACTGAGCTGGCGGTTGCTGTGGCAGAACCCAACTTGCCGACAAGGAGATGCTGACCATTTTGCTGAATAATCGTATGGGTAGCCACGGGATTCTTCGACACCTGGACCACCGTGGTTCCCTGGTTCGAGCCCGGCTGCATACCACTTTCGACGAAGATGATAAACTGCTAGAGGCCTAAAAGTACATACGATACTGAATTTCACAAGTTATTTGTTGAATAGATAAAAATGATGTGACTTATTTTAGGGTCACATGATGGATGTTATTCCGTAAACCTAGCCCATATTTCAATCAGGGCCCAAGTGAATTTACAAAACAAGCACAAGTCGCTAACTGACTACATTAAAATCAAAGTTGACTGGATTATGGGTACACACAAGCAGGGTCACTAATCCAAAAAGCGCGTAGTTTGATGCACCTCCACATGCAAGGCTCCCGAAACGAGTTAAAATTTCAAGTGCGAATGTAGGATATTGCATTATCCAATAACTTGGTTAATGGAGAAGTTAGGATGACTTACGCAAACACTTTTCTGGGCTTAAAATGAAGGTAGGGAAATTAAGAACCAATAAATAAATTGGTCCATGCTGTGATTTCCGGCCATAACTTAACTAATTCAGGTAAAAATTCACTTAAGTGGCTCAGATACGCAATTCGGAGACGGCGCCAATTAATCTCACACAACCAGTGTTCTCTGTTATTGTCAATAGTGGCCACGCATACAAAGAACGTAGGTTACTAGAACAGAGACGAGCTATTATCAATACACTTGAATGAGTAAGAGCACGCTGACTATTCATAAGGAGAATATCCTCATACGAAAAACACTCGAAGCCATTTAACTATTCAGCATTAAGACACTTCATAAGTGCATCCACAGTAGCTGTCTCTGAAAACCCAATCACGATGAGAGCAGTAAGCGAACAAATAAATGCATTCCTCTTGAATGAAATGAAGATACTCTCATCTACTGTTTAATTAGCAGCGAATAAATTCTTTTCACTCGCAACGATTAAAAAGACAACGACATAAAGGTTTTACGGATGTTAGGGTCGCCTGCTACTAAGGATGCTGGTTAATGGGAGAAGCCTTGAAGCAGCTACTAATAAGTCCTAATGACGAAAAACAATAATGCAGAGACGAGTTTCCCAAGCACACCTAGAAATATTTTTAACTTCCATACACTGACAAACTAATAACATTATATCACTACAAAGCCGCTCTCAAAATCATCGTCGGTGCCTGAACCAGGGCCCCAAAAGGGGAAAGCAAAAATCCGAATGCAAATTTCTGAGTGTTACTCTACGACTTGATAAACTTAGCCCACCCATCTTGATACCATAGAAGTTTAGTAAATATCGTCTCACGATTCTCTTGACGGCTTAATAACAACGCATAAAAAGCACCGCCAAAGTTCTACTTGTACCCAGACAAGGAAGAGGCCTGTTACCAAAACTAATAAGTGAATTCCATTCATGACGAGTTGGATAAGATTAATTAGTAAACTACAGTAACACAATGCCAAAAAATGTGAAAAGATTACGTGTCAATGGTGGATCAAAAAGGCAAACCACACGTGGACCACAAAGCTTGTATTTGTCCAATGCAAAGGCTTTACATATGTAAAAACTTCAAACAGACAGACACCAATTCTAAAAGGCTTTTCGGGATGTCTATACGAGACGTGTCGCGAATGGTGAAGTACGAAGAGGGTAATTAAGGGGCTGCAGATGTCGTATTTAAATCTACAAGACTTCAGGTACTAGAAAAAAGGAATGGTCTGCCCACGTACCGCCAAAATTCTTCAGCAAATCGGTATCTACCGTATGCAAAGTAATAACGGCACAAATATTTGACCACATGTGAAGCTTAATTGATTCACATGAAAAAAATAATAGCTTAAAAGACCGTCGTTTCCAAACATTTTACTGCGCTTCGCGATTGCGTTAATGAGTTTTAGCAACAAACGTTGACCAAGGCAGGAATCATTTATACTTCTATAATCATTTTTATTTGTTTACCATAGTTACTGTCCACTCCTTTTTAAATAAAAGGCATCAAACTACTGCAATTCGGAAATAAGTTTAATTTGACCAACAAATGGACAAAATTTAAAAGGCATGACACTGTCGCATAGGAAACGAAACAAATAGTCACCTTAGTTGGTGGGAGACAGTCGCCAACAGCTACCGTGACTATGGCGCTCACTATGGCGGCAAATGTTTACGTCAATAGTTACTATAACAATTAAAAGCGCGGAACTCAAATGTAAAAATCAGTTAAAGGATGCATATTTATTTGTACCTAAACCAATACCAATAATAAATATTTGTGCATACAAAAGAAACAATGTGCAAATATGTATTTAGATTACTCAAGATTCTTTGCAATTAAACTTTATCGTGACAGAGCAAGGTCATCATAAAACATATAAGGTCAACAATAGCAGGAAAGTTTGTGCAAAGTTAGGAATAATCTCCTTAAAGAAAAAAACCACCTTAAAAATCCAACTAGTTCTAATATTTATTTATTCAGGGACATTTGCCTACCTTTCGAAATACCTATAATGTTTTTACAAATCAGGAAAATGTAATTAAACAATATGTCCGGGTGGTTTAAGATTAACATTGGATTCAAGAATCTTTCTACAGCAAAATATATGGAAGCGATAATGACCATGTAAATATTTATCCAAAAAGCAGATGTCATCACCATCTTTCTTAAGTGCCCCCAAATAATTATTAGACCACCAATTTTGCTCCTTTATTCATAAAAAATTATGTCATATTCATGGTTTTCATAACCTTATTATAAGTTCTGCACTTTGTAGTTGCCCAAATATCATTTAATTTTTTTAGAGTCGCTCCAAGTTATTTGCTTTTCTGTTAAGTACCTTGAGTCGTGAATATTTAAACAAATTGTGTAAGCTTAAAGGCCACTTTGCTGGTGATTAATGTCTTTAGAAAAACCTCTGTCATCTCATTTTACTGCACTTAACCTTTAGGTGACTTTGAATAGCCTTAGGTGATATGCAATAGCTTTAATTGCTACTAGCGTTAATTTGTTTAGCTGCAATATGTGTAAGCAAGGTTGGATACCTTTTGGGCCACTAGTTAAAACATAGGAATAAGCATGTGTCATAAGGCAACTCTCAGGGCGATGTGTGTTAACGAATACCCTGTTTCAATCTCGACCAGTAATTGACGAGTCAAGTATCAAGAGTTTTTTTGCTTCGCAATTCAGATTAGTTCGTCTTGAAGTCGGTACATCCTTAGGTTACTTTTTTAAAATGTCACTTCAAAAAACGCAAGGTTGACTTGTTCATTGGCTTTATTTGAGCTAAAATACCACGAAACAAGTTAAATGTGTGATGCAAATATCAGACCCAGCTCGTGGGTCACACCATGAACTCAAATGATCCACTGGAATTTTGTTTGAATTATATACGAGGACAATCAATAGCCAAATGGAGCTAATGATAATAGAATATCATTTAAACATATGTTGTGTGTGAAGTAGAATACCCGAGCTCTATTATGTAGATGATGGGTACAACAGAACAGGCATTATTGACCAATAACAACCCAGAACCATATTTCAGGCACCGTCCATCCGAGTCCACCACGCTGCCCACGCGGCTCATTATGTACTGCCCCTTATTCGTATCTTCCTCGGATTGGCTGCATATCTTCCTCGCATGCCATTGGATCACAGATAGACAGGAATTGCTGAGGTCAGTGTGGTCCAATAAGTCTGAGCCCTCAGACGTCACCACACTGCCTACCCCCAGGAGTGAAGCTGTCCTCAGCTTCTGACTACGTTCCCCGCACTATTTATGATTGGTAAAACATCCAGTCCGACACTCCCAGACACCCCAAATCTGGCAGGATAGTGGCCCAAGCGAATTGTAGACGAGGGACATTGTTGCTGTGGATTTGCAGACAAGCCGCTTCATCCATATCGGGTTCATTCTTTATCTGCAGTCTAGCTAGTTTCCTATGTCCATGTCATCGTCGCTGAGTTGCTAATGCCTTTTCAGATGCAGCAGTCCTAATTCCGGGCAATGTCTATGGATCCAGTGTATGGGGCATCGGATGACCGCCATAACCTTCAGCTGGCATTTAAAGGTCTATGCCTCAGTTGTCCATTGTAGGGAAAGCGCTGGAGTTTGATTTGCGTTATTCAAACACACCCGCTGTCACTAATGTAGAATACCCGAGCACTAATAGAAAAAAAGACTGGTACAACAGACAGAACCACACGTCAGGCGCCGTCAATTCGAACCAACTATGCTGCCCATTATGTACTGCTCCTCATTCGTGTCTTTCTCTGGTTGGCTGCATACCTTCTTCGCATGCTATTGGATCGCAGAGACAGAGAATTGGCTGAGGCCAGCGTGGTTCAATATGTCTGCGCCCTTGTGCGTCGCCATTGTACGTTTTGGCCCCATGGTATGGTCAAGAAGAGAATGAGACAAAATGGATTTTTTAAATAAAGGATGATATACGCAACACTCAGGTCTCAATCTGGACAGGCGTAAGGGGAAAACAGGGTCTTTGTAAATCCTTGTCCTTGTCGTCCTGTTCTCCCGTTGGTCCGTTCTGCGGCGCACAATGGGGACGGAAAAATCGTAAGCGGATTGGCTCTCAGTCCTCGGCGCTTCTTTCAATGCCCGCGTGACGCCACACAGCCTGAAGTCGCACCCCCGGTCACATGACGTCGCCACCAGGGCGTGCTTCTCACATTCGACCAATGGATCAACACCAATATGGCTGCTATCTGTCACGCCGCTACACCATTGTAGAAGAAACGATTATTTACTTTTTTTCAAAGAACAATGTGAGTAACATGAATCTAGCCTATGGTTCATTAATAATGTGGAAATAAGGGTGAGATAGAACAACGATTTCGACATTCGACGCTACCCCAGAAAGTGGACATTTGAACCCTTCACCAACTCAGCCCCCTTTCCTGTGCAGGAGCATTGACAAGGTATCGACAAGTGAGCGTAGTTACTGTTTCAGCAGCAATATGTTCAGTGAGCCTGACTGCTCTTTGCCTTGGCAGCAAGAGAGCGGACCAATGAGATGGCTACGCGATCCAAAGGAAATATTTGAAATGGTGTGCGTGTTAGATTTAGAAATGATGCGAAATACCCTAGCCCTAGTATGAAGAAGAGAGATGCAAACTTTGTTGACCAAGCAAAGGCCAGAACCACCTGCCAGGCGCCGTCTATCCGAGTCCGCCTTACTGGCTGCGCTCTTTGTTACATAGTTCTTCCCATCCATCCCTTTCACTGGTTGGCTGCTGACCTCCCACGTAGGTTATTCAAAAGCACAAAAGCAGAGGATTTGCTGAGCGCAGAATGATCCTACATGTCTGCGCTCTTTCCCTTCACTATAATGGGAAATCCTAACTTCCTGTATACCCAAAGACCATCGCGTTAACGCACACTCAACTCCAGACGGCTGTAGAAAAGTTGGACACGATTACAAGATCACGACATGAAAGGCAATATTAATAGTTCAGTTTTAAAATTAAATCTCTAGGGATACAACAATGAAAACAAAGGGCCCGAAAAATTTTTGCGCCTCCTGTGACGGAGCTGCGTTCATATTAGGGTTAGAGAAGTAGGCGAGAACTCGCAATGGTGAACTCAGCTCGTCACCTGATTATGACGTAGACACAAGTACGTTAGGAAGAAAGTATGAAAATAACAGAAGTCGTTCAAAGCGCAAGGATGGATTGATCAAGGGACTCCCCGAGTCCAGATCGAATGAACTCGGCGCACTCCACACACACGCGCACAAGCGCAGTCGGTGGCATTCCCTCGGTGGCGCCGATGTTGCCGAGTTCGATGAGGGCAGCAACTGGTGCGCGCTCGCTGCAGCAAGCGGCACAGAAGATGTGGCCGCAGCGGCGACAATGGTGGCGTCGGCGCAGAAGGGACACGAAGCGCGCCTTGCAGCGAACGCAATCGCGCCCCACCCGCGCCGCCCCCGACGCCCACCGGCCGTGGCCGAGGCCACCACTGTCGGTGTCGTCGTCGCCGTCGTTCGTTTCGTCGTCCTCCACGGTGTCGCTGGCCGCCGCTCCTCCCACGTACGTGTCCGGCTGCCATAGGGCCAGGGGGTAGAGGGGGTTCGCTGGTGCAGCCGGGGTGGCGTTTTCGATTGGCGCAGAACGGAACAGCGAGAGAAACAGCGATCTAGTTGTTGCTGAGAGAGCGCAAGCTACAGATTAGAGCAACTCGATGCACCACAAAAGGGATCAGTAATAGCAAAACAGTCACTGGGATGTGTGCACGAAAGCAACCTCATTTTCGCTTGTGAGACAACTCCTAGTCAGAGCAGCGGTTATGCAACGAATTGGGTAACACCTCGAGATAGGAAACAACAACAAGCTTCTTGGAAAACTTGAACACATCGACAAGAGCCTCACGAAAACTCATTACTTGCAGTACGTAACTGGGTGGAGAAAGTGAGTCCCATACCTTTTCACATTGGAAGCCAAAGCGTAGCCCTGTCCAAAAGCCAAACACACGTGATGTTTACTTGTGACTCGATCTAGCTACCAGCAGAGCTGGTAGTGTCTCCCAGATTGACATGTCCACCGTGAATTACCATAAACAAGCCCATCTGGCGTGGATGTAGACTTGTGGCGGTGAACGTGCGCGTTCCGAACCGTCGCCAATTGATTACGTCTGTTGGCAACTTAACTGGTGAATGTTTACCACGAATCTCAATGCCGTTGGTGGCAAATCGCCGACCCCAGGCCCCACTGCGCCCGAATCAGTAGAGCAGACAGTTTGTGGATCATCTAATGTTTAAACGCCTCATCGCAACCACATCTTCCAGTCAAGATTCGCTAGACGACTCGAATGAATTAGCGTCAAAGTGAAGTCGAAAAACCAAACCTAAGGTTTATTTAATAGCGTTGAACCATCGATAAGACTTCCCGTAGGCCTCTGACCAACAACACAATTATTTTCGACTACTAAAGCAGAATAAGGTAAGGAAAGCATGCACAATGAGTCTAAAGCAGCCAGGCGGTCAGGGAATTACGAGTCCACATTATTAAAAACACAATATTCAGATCACACATTACTCAAAAGCAAATGAAGGCTTAGAAATTCAGCTTGACCACAATTAGAGCAGGTGATGTAAATTCCGAGAGCAGAAGAGTGCAGGTCTACGTTCATGTTTGTGAGAAAATCGACTGCAGTAGTGCACAGACATTGGCCTCCCAGGTTATGGAAGGCATTTGTCCGAACCTGTTATTCCGAGTTTGATCAACTTCCCCCTCAGATTGACAGTGTCTCACTCCTGTTGCCTGTCTAGCGAACCTCGATATTTGATCCGACAACGGAACGCATAAGTGTGAGTTTTTAACGAGCAAGTCAGTCCAAATGGGACTGGTTAGACGTGCCATAGTCTGGCAACAATCGCCTCTGAATCAATCGATCACGTCTGCACTAATTTCTCGGTTACTTATGACTGACACTGTAGACATCTGAACACATCTGGCATTTATACACTGGAACATTCACGCCTCAAAAATGATCAAATGGGTTATACTGTGGCGAAGGTACGGGATTTTAATCCAACATGCACTAAAGGTTGCACATAATTGCCCAAGCGTACACGGCTCTGCAAGCTTCGTCGAGTCGGCTTCAGTCGCGAGGGAAGCGACCACGTCGACGCCGACCTCCTCACAGGCAGGCGGTTCAACGGGGGTGAAGAGGTGCTCGATGGAGGACAGACCAGGGCCCTTGTCAGCGCTGGAGGGACGAGAAGTCGCGGGCTTTTTCTTGAAAAGGTCCTTACAGGGCGGCCGTTGGTCTGGCGAGGCGGTGACAAGGCGCTGCCAGTTGAAGAGGTCAGCCAAATTGACGCCGTGGATTTGGCCGCTGTGAAGGCAGCCCGCAGCAACCTCGCTGTCCAAGGGGCAGATCGGTTGAAGCTCTCTGTCCGCCTCCTCCTCCTCCTCCTGTGCCGCTTCCGTGTCGGCAGCAGGTTCCCCAAGACCGCCTTCCACCGGGGGATCGTGTAACTCAATTGCCAGCTGAAGGGAAAGCACAACTCTGTGAACACCACCCAGAAATGCACATAGCGTTAAAAGATTGGCCTGGTGGTGAAACCTGGGATAGGTGGGGTTGCCAGCTGGAACACGAAGCGGTGTCGTGCAAAAGACCCCCGACTCACCTGAAGGATGTACCTCAGCTCCGTCGGGTGGTTGGTGGAGAGACGGCTGGCGACCTGTGCGATGGACTTGTAGATGCAGTGCAGGCCGTAGGTGTTCCAGCCGAAGAGAGTGCACTGCTTCATGACAGCGCCGGCCTGCACGCGGTGAGGCGGTTTCGCGAGGCTGGCGGCGGTGTCGACACACTGGGCCTCTGCGTCGGAGAGCCCGAACGGCGACGTCCAACAGGCCAGGCGCCAGAGCTGGTCCGCCCGCAGCACCGAGAGCTGGCGCGCCAGGTACGTGAGCTCCTTGGTAGACTCGGCGAACATAAAGGCTGGACGGGCCCTTGGTGCAACGGCAGAAGAGAACACGGTGACGCGGAAGACGCGAAAAATGCCCTTGAGCCATGTTAAAACCGCCACCTAATTGGCCTTGACCCTGTGTCGGTGACTATCGCTGACTCTCGAAGTTAGGAAAGCATCATTCACGAGAAAAACGTGAGCAATACAATAAACGATCGAATCCCATTTAGCTCGGGGTACCCACGTGCTGCTACGCAGCTTCAACAATACGAGTAGTCTCTTCCGAGTCACACATTGGAATCTTGACGCCAGGCACGGTAGCTGAGAATGTTACGAGGTCTGTGGTCAGGACTCATTGAGGGATGTGCAACTCGCAACTTTGCAACGCCAGGACATCGCTCATAGACAGAACAACACGCACACACACTTCAAATCAACCACCCCAATTGGCTAAAAACCATTTCAATTTGAACATCGGCCACAGTTTTAGAGTTCAGGGTAAACTTATCCAAGTCAAGTCCCTTAATCTCTTTTGTACGTACAATGCGGCACCAGCACGTGTGCTTGAGAGAACCAGTGTTTAGTGGACGAATACTGTCTGCAGTCGGGCACAGTCCTTTTTTGGGTTCGGCAGTGATTGGTCTGTGCAGGAAACAGACCAAATTTTAGTTGATCTCTGTAATGTACGAGATTTTCTATGCTTCTGCTACACAAATACAACTCTGATCCCACTTTGAGATCACCAAAACGACGACATGCTTGAGGACGCCAAGCATGCAGGAGGATGGCCTCTTCTACGGTGTGCATTGTAGTGAATTGTGCTGGTCCTTATTTCACACCGTCCCTATCATTCGTGCAAAGCCGTCTGCTCATACTCCTGTGCTGTGTGGTGACGCAACATAGTCCTTGTCAACCTATCCTTACGTTTCATGGCAAAAGTTCCACAGGTACAGAGGAACTAGGAACAGAACGTTTAGTAGTAATTCGAGACAGATTAAAATCCGCCCTTGATGAGGCTTCCAGAGTACGAAAACTACCAAAACATCACCTGTGCTATTAAACGACACCTCCCGCCCTAGTATCGCATGCCAGAAGGCACAGATAGCAACTTCAAGTCTTACAATGAGGTGCCTACCCGGTGTTGAGGCGGTTGGGGCCGATCGGGCCGTCTGGCAGGAGGTAGCACCCCGCGAAGACGGCCAGACGAGGCAGCGCCACGAGGAGCACGGGATCGCGGTCGGCCAGTCGCTGGGCGTCCACCAGGCCCACGGCGCGCGCCCACATTAGCGTCTCCGAGAAGAGCACCGCCACCTCCTAAATTACCAAGTGGCAGTCATCGACGGTGTGCAATCGTGGGGTCGCGGTTGACCACCAACAGTTGAAGCGTTCTACTGCACAAGTAGCGCACACATTTTGACAACGCTTTGTGAAGGTCCTTGGAGAGGCGGTCAAGACGTGGCAAGAAGTAGATTTGGAGGGCCCAGGGCCACAAAAACAATTGGGTGTGAAGTTGGAACAGCACATGATCTGGCGGTGACAGGACAACCCGAGTTCTTGTAAACATGTTTCGCTCTGCATGTAACACTTTAAAGTTTATTCGTTGTTATAGACCAGTCATAAATTGATGTGTGTCACTTGGGATTACACAAACATGTCTTCATAACCATCCCTAGATTCGCTTACGATCCACATCCTTCTCAAGCAACATGGAAAATTTGGCCAGCAAATTATCTTGACCGCCTTTAGCGGACAAATTTAGACAAAATTCGATCAGCTTTCGCGACGGCTGAATTCTCATGGGGAATCAAATTTCAGATGACTTAGCTGACTGTGTTCAGGGCTGATGTGGGCCTTCATGTCCACTGGGTGACCAAAACGGGTTTGACGAATCAGTGACAAGAAATCGCATTACAGTGAATTTTACCACAACTGCGAAAATTCCAAGACAATTTGCCTAGCACTCAACTACTAATCCTCCCGCCAGATAGGCGTACGCAAAGATTCCTTCGCGTTAGCGACAAAGTTAGTTTGCGTGGCGCACTCTTCAAACCCATCGCCAATAAGGGGTCGGTAGACTTGAATTAGTGGCGGGAAATAAGGCCTTAGCAAGACTGGCTTTTAAGTGAACTGAAGACTACGTTTAAGTGCATGGATGATCGTCAGTGTTGCCAAACAGGCACCCTGCCCTTCTGCTGCTTGCTGTCTGATAATTTCCCCCTCTTCTTCTAATAAATGAATCTGATTGGTTTCTCAAAAAAAGACAATCAATTAGTACAAGGGGTGACTCCCAATCTCATTTAACAACTTATCAAATTCAACCGGAATTCTGACTCTGTGAAGATCACACAAGGCAACACGGGTGCTGCAAGGTAGCAATGATCACTATTACGTCAAAGTAGTAGCACAGGTGACGTCTCTCAAGACAAAAAACGACCTTGTTGTACTTTCACCGCAAACCAAAGCAGCAGTTTACTTAAGCAACACGTGACTTTCTCTGGTGTGATTGCATACACACACAATAGACGACAGTAAAAGCCAACAATGCTTTTCTGTAATCACGGGACTAGTGAGTAGTTGCAAAAGCACAACTGTAAGCAGCTCAATGCCTTAAAAAAGTGGCTAAGGTGTTTGGACCTAAACTCGAACAGTCAACCTTGATGGAAAAGGAGGTCTCGCTGATGGCAAACAACTTCGTCCTGTAACACACACACACACGCTCACAGCGAAGGCCTTTTCCACTTTCCTCCAAAGCGGAGGGAATCGCGTGAGGCGAAACGCGCAGACCCTAACCTCACGTTCAACTAGGCACTTTTGTCAATTAGAGTCAACTAGTCTATCGTATCGTCAAGCGTGAAAAGCACGAGCCACAGGAGTGACTAGGGAAGTGGTTGGCGTGTGTACATGTCCCGAATTAGACAGCTCGTTGTCAGGCAGGCGACTAACTTGATCCTCCTACGAGATGGAAGCAAGCCGAACTCCTCTTGTCAGATTTCATGATGCAAAAAAGCGTTTAGACACTGCAAGTCGTCAAAGCACAATGATCGTGTAATGAAGGCTATTAACCCATTTCGAGCCCAAAGAAAACAAACCCACGACTCTGCACCCACCTGCACCTCACCAGCCTCAGCTTCACTTCGCAGACGTCGCGACACCGAGGAGATGAGAGCAAACTCGAAAATTGCCATGTCGTGGTCGACCTCGATTAGCAGGCCAATCAAGTCCCGCATCTCGGCTTTAGGATCACGGCTGTCACGATGGAACTCGTCAGTGTTCGGTGCAACTGGCAATGCAGGGAGGGAGGCACTGGACGGGAGGGTTTGTTTGTCCCGGTGTTGTGCACGTGTGGCCACTGTGGCCACCTCGGACTCTACAAACACGAAGATGACCTCGTACAGGCTATCTTGGGTGGTGCTGAGAGCCTGAAAGCGCACTGTGTCCAAGCCCCCACAAAGCTGCCACGGTAACCACAAAACATACGGCCAGAAAGCCAAATCACGAGTCCTCGAAGCCTCGTCAAGAGAAGGCTTCTACTGTCAGCCAAGGGCCGAGGAACGCGTCCAAATACGCACACCTGGACGACTTTAGCGGGAAATAACGTGGATAACACATTAAAAAATATAAAAGCTAACAGGATAGGGGAGGAGGGAGATATGAATACAACTAGATGCCTTATTGCAAAGCATGGACAAAAACAGTTAATAGTCAATTTCATGAAAAGCGATGTCGTAGAGATGCAGCTTACTCCTGCACGCCCAGACAAATGTGTGCGATTGCTTAAAAATCACAATAACGACCACTACCTTCTCATGGACTCATCAGTGCATTTAACGGACGATGCATTGTAGCTAATCTCGAGTATATATGTAAATCAGCCACATGACGCACCATTACAGTAAAAAATTTGACTAAGTTGAAATATACAGAGGGTGTTACCACTCAGTAATGGATTTTACTAAGGGTGAAATGCCAAAACCCATTTTGGTTGTCAACAGCATGGACGTTATTTTTGTCTGTTCGTAAACTAGAGGAAAATTAGACATTAAATGGGGAAAAAGTAGTAATGGGCGTCTCTCTCTCTCTAGTTACTTCGTTTATTATTTGGGTGTGGTGGGAAAAAATCTCCATCAGAGCAAAATCCAAAGGTAGCATAAAAACCGCAGCTCCCGTTAATACCTTAGTTTACCTCGCTTTGGTTTTTGCGGACAGCCCCGTGACCACACACCTCTCTTTAAGGACAAAACCAAATGTGCTTAAAAGAAACCGAAGACGATATTTACGTGACTGGAGTAACCAATCAATACACATTAACCGACCGCATAACTTCGTGCCACTGGTGGAAATTGGCAAGCTATCAGAAAGGATGTACTATAAGTTCCAAAACACGTTACCCGAATCACTTTCTGCCACCGCTCTCTTGAAGAAAGGTAACTTGGTGACGGAAGAGTTCCGCCTAATGTGAAGCCGCTTAGCGCGTCCTTTGGAAAGCATTTTGCGATAACGATTGTTAGTCTCGATAACAGTATCGACCTGAGTTTGGACTCGGGCCAGGGTATCTAAGAAGGTACGAGCTATTGGACGCACCGCGACCAAAGAGCGGTCACTAAAGTAATGAGAGTAAAATAAGGTTACAATGGGCAAATATACACACCTAGACAATGTTGGTGTGCTTTAAGCAAGCTAGGAGAAGCAATGTAGTTTAAATTATCAACCACATGACCGATTTATCAACAAAAAACAACCATAATCAGAAAGCGAATGCGTGTGGATCGCAAAGATGGTCTCTTCGCACTTCATATAACCATAATCACATATACTTTGAACTTTAAATCGAGTGCAGATAAATTGGCTTGTATGCAGTGAAGGCTTTAGGATTGAACATAATGTGAACCAAGTGAGACTCATTAAAATGAAAAGATAATTATTTGGATAACACAAGAAATACATGACAAAAATCTTTAGATTTACACACGCCACGTCCATGACCTGCAACCACACAATAGACCAAAACAACAGAAGCATCGGGAACTTACGAGGCTGAAACATCAAGAACCTTATTTGCAGCAGAGATCAAGCATTCCTCAATTGATTCCATATTTAGATCTTCCGTATACTTCATGCGGAACTGGCGCTGATGACGCAGTGTCTCCGAAACACAAGTCTCTATCAACTTGAGTAGTGCCCTTGACAATCTTTTCCGCGACGTTTCAACCTAGAAGATGAATTCACATGCGATCACAACCGGTGGGGCATAAAAAGCAAGCTTTATTAAGCCGCGTTTCAATAACGAAAACTAAACAAAAGTGATTAGTCAGGTTGATTTGTCAGATGGAACAGAACTTGTAGATCAGTAAACCAATGTAAGCCATTCGACCACAGGCCTCCCAAACATTCTAGAGGTCATCTTTTTACCAAATTACAAATAATTTTAGCATATCGTGGTAGAGCTACGTTAATGGCTTTACATTCCAAAATTGGATTCTGATTGCTAAAAAATCTTACCGCGCTATACACTGCCGACGTGTCTAAGTGAATATAGTCGGCTTCTTCTCTTTGGGCTCGAACGGAACGTTCGTGAAATGCAACAACTGCCTCCAACACATTTCCAGAGAGCAGGCATGACCGCATTGGTACAAAATAACACTGTCATAAATAGCGCCGTTTTTATTCGAAACAATTAACAATGGCTGTACACAAATTATCAAGTGAAATTTAAAAATAAACTAGTTTTCGAATTAAGCTAATCAACAGTTTTTAATTGATTTTAAATTAAAAGGATTTTGGTTGGACAGTAATGTCACTAGTAATAAACAGTTTAGACTAATTATGACCTTGCGGTGCCCTGGTTAGAACTGCAATTAACCGTGGGCAAGGTTGTCTCCAGAATTGAAGTTATAACTACCAGGATTAACTAGTCAAACTTATGTTGTAATTAAGGCTGTATCTTTAGTGTTTAATCCACGGAGAAGTCAAACATCTATATTACACTGTTTGCTCTCCAGATTCTCAATTATGAGTAGCGGTGCTAGAGATAGCTGAGACACATTCGTGCATGAGGTGATTTAAACTAGTTGTGAAGCTATGTGTACCAGAATGCTTCACTACAGGTGCGTAAAGGTGAATATGTTAAAACAACTGCGTAATCAGACTAATTCCAATAGGTACTGTGAATGCTTACAAATGTTGCGATATGTCTGGTCATGAGTCGTAAATATTAATGTAAATATTTGTAATTAGCTACCTATATATCTGACTATATTACCGACTCCTTAACTTCTAACAAAAATAATTTATAGCAACTTTTGATTTTTTACCTTTTTTCGTGACTCCCTTAAATTGGTTGTTTGATGTTTCTGCGTATCAGGTTCACAAAAAGAAAATGTACTGGTTATTGAAAAATGCTTTTTAATCTATATGGACTTGACTAGTATTTGTAAGAGTTTGTGGTCTCTGATCCGACCTGTGAGACTTGTTGGGATGCCATACACCACTAACTACCCAACAACTGTGAAGTCTGCGGGGGGACAAAGAGGCAACCGTTTATTCTAGAACTTGACAAGCCGTGGTGGTGTATGGGGTTTGCGCGTGTGCATTTATATCTCGGATGTGTGAGTCATAAATGAGCTAACATCGAAACCTAGGTGTGAGTATAATCCAAGATAAAAATTCATATGAATGCGGAGGGAGTTAGGGATTCGCGCGGCTGGGTACATGCTGAAAAGAAAGGGGAACCCTGTGCGGGGGAGAAGAGACGGGACTAAGGGATGCGAATAAACACGATTCACAACAACTTCTCTACTTAGCGAGAGGATTTTGCGAAACTTTTTATCCACTGGGTTTTTGGAAGTTAGGCCGTAGATTTTGCGCGATTGTGATGTCTCCGTCGAAGAACCCGGAAGGAGGCTAAAAAGCGTTTGGATCGAGAAGTACTGCACGCCACGCGCAATTGATAGTATCCAATCTGTCCTGCGATTGTTTTTCTTTCAAGCTGTATATCGATCGGGCCAATGAACTCGTCTGCCGGAGCATGTAGTGTTAACAGCCTTCTGGTGTCGGGAGTGACGGGAGTGGGCTGCATCTGAGGCTTATTGTTTGGCAAGATCTGCATGTCGAGGAAGGCTGGCTTGAGTCGGTCGACAGACACGGTGTCTTCTTTCCTATTGTGGTCTACGATAAAAACCTTTTCTTCTCGTTTGAACACTCTGAAAGTTCCGTCGTAGGTGGGTTGAAATGGTCGACGAACTGCATCGCGTCTGATGAAAACGTGGGTGCATGTAGGCAACTCTTTTGGGGTGAATGAAATGGTGGACTGTGGGTGCAGTTGTTTAATTTTCAATTTGTTTATTGTCTCTCGCAATTGCTCAACGTAGTTGTCTGGGTTCGGCCATGTTTGTTATGAAGTCGAGATGAAAAAAATGCCTAGGCAGTCTTAATGTTGTTCCGAAAACCATTTCACCAGAGAACAACTTCAAATCTTTCTTGACGGCTGATCAGATTCCGAGTAATACGAGGGGAAATGCGTCCGTCCAACAAGATAGGTCACTATCTGCTGTTAAAGCTGACTTCAGTTGTCGATGAAAGCGTTCTACCTTGCCGTTTGGTTGTGGGTGGTAGGCGGTCGTTCGAATGCGTTTCGTCTCCAAAAGTCGTGTAAGGTTTCGGCACAGGCTTGATCCAAACTGAGTTCTTCGATCTGTGATGATGGTGGAAGGGACTCCAAATAATGCAATCTATCGGTCCACGATAGTTTTTGCGACGGTTTCAGTGGAGATGTCCTGTATTGGGAATGCATCTTGCCATCGGGTGAAACGGTTGACGTAAGTTAAAAGATAACGAAAAACTGTCGAATGCGGTAAGGGCCCAACAATGTTAGAGTCGGGGACGTGAAAGCGTCCAGGAGGAGTCTTGTTGTGTTTGTCCACCTTGGATATTTGACAGCTTACGCAATTTCTAGTGCTCTGCGTAACATCGCGATTCATGGCAGGCCAAAAGTAACGACTTGTGATCGGCTTCCGTGCTGCCCGTTGACCAGGATGAGAAAGGCCATTAAGGGCTTGGAATACTTGGAGTCGCATTGGCTTAGGTACGAAAGGACGGTGCACACCCGTTGAAATGTCGCAGACAATTGTACGTGTGGAGGAAGGAAGGGGAGCTTCAAGCAGCTTTAAGGCTGTGTTTTGTCTTCGGAACCATTGCGATTCTTCATCAGATTGCTGAGCGATTACCATATCCTCGATATTCACGTGTGTACACGCATTTAAAGCGTCGATTCGCAACCGATTCAACGTCGACTTCTTCAAAAGCGTCAAAGTAAGGGACAAAATCTTAAGACATGTTGCAGACTTTTCACGAATGACGATAGTTTTCACATCTTTTGATCTCTTTGAGCACATAAAAATGATCCGTAATTTGGGTAAAGACATTAACTTCTTAATCAATATTCTAATTCTGGTAGCCAAATTTTTTACATTTTATTTTTGAACTTGCATTACATTATTTGCATATTATCCTTAAGGTAACCAAAATTCTAATCCCCTTCAAACGACAGGATTTAGTACGAAGACAATTACTTATTTCTGGAAGAACAATTTTTAATCGAGCTCACATTAGATGTTACATGTTTTAGTTAGCAGAGTAACACAGCTGCTCCATTTTTTCGGCCTTAAAGTTGAATTTAGGCTTCCTAAAAACTTTAAAAACTTATTCCAAAAACATAACGACACCTGTCATATATCTTCTGCAAAAACATTAAATTAACCATCAAACTGAGCGGGAAGTGCCTTTATTTCGCTTTTTTGATGTACATCTTCACTGGAAAACTGCCTTTTTGATCGCCTGCGCTTCAATCTGAAACGACGTAAGCTGGCCAGGAGAAAATCGCTTCCGGACCCCATGGTTACTGGACCACCTTTTTTGGCGAGTTTTCCAGCGCACAGGCAGAGGCGATGGCGTCAAGTTTTGTGTAGGTGGGCACCTTATCAAGCCGAGTCGCCTCGCACACGGCCTCATCGCCGGTAGGATGTCCTGCCATCAACTTTGCACAGTTGACCTCATCAAGGCCTTCGTAGCGTCCACTCCCGTTCATGCGCGTTTTACGCAACTCCAAGCAGTTAGTGTCGATGCGGAGGCTGTTCTCCTTGATCGCGACTCCCTCTTTGAGGCGATTACGAGTCGCTTCTAGCGCATGCAGCTGATGCCTTAGGACAAGAATTGGAAGTGCCTGGAGGTTATGCGTAGAATTAAAGATTGTTCATGCACAGAGTTAGGACAAGCGTATTACCTGCTGATAATTTTTTTACGAACCTACACATTATCGGGTCGAATCGACTAATATTGGCATATTTCATGCTGTGATCCTTAGTGTAACACTTAAACTCAGCAATAGTTCTCATAAACGTGACGAATTTTGTATTATTTAAAGGGTGTGTAAGCAGCAAATCGCCTCAAAGTTAAGAAACGAAAGGATACTTAATCTGAACTCACCAAAAATCTACTCACCTGCACTCCGCTTGCTTGTAAAGCAGTGAGTTGCGTGAGGAGTTGAGTTGATTAACCTCATCGGTCAGGCCGTATTGTGGTTGATCGCGGCACAGATCGGCACCGGGTCGGTAAGTCCGACGCTCCAGTCTCGTCTGCGCTAACTTCATCATCTGCGCCTCGGATTGCATCTCTAGCTCCAGTTTGTCCAAATCATTGATCATCTCCTCAATCTCCTCTTCCGTCTTAAAAAACGATAACATTTGGTTTTCAAGAACCTAATTTTTACTTGCATAGCCTTCCTGTTATGCAAACTTAGCAGCAACTACAGAATGTGTCGATTTTCTTAAATAAACGCCAATCAGCCGCATATAATCACCATTTAACGCTGATCATGTTCATGTTTACTTCTTTTCCAATATCATACTACTTCGCTTGGACAAAAAAGAACCACAACAGGCCCAAATTTTGTTTTAGAGATGGGTATTTCTGAGGCGCGTACAGTCAAAGGACTGTACATTATTAGCATGATATACAAAAAAGGTGTTGTCGACTAACAGACCTATCAGTTTTGGATTTTTATAAAAATTGACAATTTACGACTAGACATTCTTTTACTATGTTTATCATAGTATAAAGGCACATAATCAGGAGACTTTTAACTGGCGTTTTGGCCACATCAAGACTTTTTTCGGCTTATATTCTACTCCCAGTTAATCGATTATAACAAAACAGATCTACAGCGTCAGTACTACACCAGCCTGCAAGATTTCCCACCTTTTTAAGCCGCCATTTAAGTTCGTCAAGAGCCAACTCGTCTTCGTGGGTGCGCTGTCGCAGCGCAAAGTCGGCAGCCCGGCCTTGTGCATCTAGCGAATTTTCTACGTCTTTCATGGTGGCAAAAATGGCATTGCAAAGTCGCTGGCTTGCCTTCACCTCAGATTCTGCCCTCTGAAAGTTGCACTTTGTAAAATTTTCCCATTGTTTCAGGGTCGTAGTGCTGAATGAAAATGGTTAACCGTTACACATTTTGGCAGAGACAACATGAAAAGTCCCACTCATTCCATATTTGTGCCAAATAAGGTTGCCTGTTTACTGATAGAAAAAAAAGGGTGTAGGCCTTTGTGTGTATCAGATTAAGATGATATTATGTTAATTTTTAAGCAAATAACTAATGCATTTAGTGAATCAGTTGCATTAATGAATATTGCATCGGGAACGTGCAGTTCTGTTTGATTTCAAATACTGTCCTTTTTATTTTTACTGAAGGCACCCACGTTAAAGCATATGAGTTATTTTACATAATAAACTTCTAAAAAACCCCACGCATAAATGATAAGTTAACAGTTCTCTACAAATGATCTTTAACATTACCAGCATACCTGCACCCACATTAGTCTTTTTATAGTTTATCTTTCCAAAATGACCAAGGCTCTCATAATATTTTTCATCTCAATAGAGAAGCTCAGCACTTTTTATTTTCATAGATAAATAAAGCAGTGGCTGAGGATATTTTCCATAAAACCTAGAAATCGAGAATCTTCCAGATTCTGTTTATCAATGCATTGTGTTATCAACAACCATTTTAAAACATAATATGATAACCAAATTCCTATAATACTTCAAGGTTATTTAACTTTCTAAATGTAATATGATGATTGCACAGTAACATTCTGTTATCATAACCTTTAATGTTTAGTAGCTAAACTTACCCATCTGGAATCCGGGTTGGATTGACTTTAAAGGAAACACCAGGACAGTCCTTGGTTAATTTGTATTGCTGTGCATCGATTTCGAAGGTTTCGTTTTTATCCTGTAGATCCTTTAGGACCATTTGGCGCGCCTCTTGCAGCTGAAGAAGTTGCTTAAGGGCTTCATCAACTTTTCTTTGCAACCGTTTTCTGCTCTCAAATAACAGATCCTGTTCCTAAAACTAATGTCATTTTTAACGAAAGTATGTACCTTTCTGAGTTCGATCTCAGCCTTGTCTTTAGCGAAATCAATCCCTCGGCGGCGGTCTCTTATAGTTAAACATTCAATATTACAATCTTCTGGGACCTGCATGTCTTGAATTTGTTTTTCCATTGCTTCCTTGGCGGATGATAATTGCTCAATCTCTTCATCTAGCATAGTTCTGGCAAACTCTAAAATATCCTTGTAGCCTTCAATCATGTCAAGTCTATCCGCAAGCCTAGTTGTGTTATGGTAATTATCCCATTTCGTCCTTAGTTGAGATGATAAGCGTAGAGCTCGAGTGTCCTGACGAATGTTCTCTGACACGTCGCGTTGCCAAAGCGAATTGCAACTCATTGCAGAGGAGTTTATAAACCAATCTGGTAGCTTGAATTTGCATGGGTTCTTGCTTATTGAGGCCATCGTATCACGACCACTGACCACAAATATGAGTATTTCGAAAATTGAGGTGCAGTCACTAGAACAACCAAGGCCATTGATAAATAAAAAGTAGTCTAGACAAACTGTCTAGAAAAATTGATTTACAAACATGTGTGAATCTAAAATCATTTGGTGCAACCTTATTTATTCAAAAATAACTGCAGTGCTATGTGTGCACACTTGACCCTTATTCCAAAAGCACCAATTTAAATGAGTGATTTACTCCCAACTAGTTAATTTTAAAGTTTTAGGATGTTTGTTCGAAGATACATCAAAAAATGTGCATCGTTAATGACATAAATTTAGATTAATGGAACAAGTTAAATTAGTTTTATATAAAATTTTGGCCTCAATCACCCGTTTTTCCTGACAATGTTAGCGCAGTTCAATTAAATGAAAATTGTTAAGGGTTGGACAAAAAACTGTTAGTCTTAATGAGAGTCAGATAATAGGTTACTTCGTTATGAATAATTTATTTAAAAAGTGGTTGTTTTAACGCAATTAAATAATTTTGCATTATGTCTTTATAACTTTAAACTTATAAACGTATTAAAGGCTAATTACGCTTCGCCGGTGTCCTAAAAATCATGAGATAACTAGAACTGATGAAGACATAGCCCTTAATGCTACTCAAAATTTATGTTATGTTTGTGCAAATTTTTTTATTGACCCTTGATCTCTTTTGGCTTGTAATATATCTAAACATGAATCCCCACTTAGTGATAGATGATAGCAGATCAAAGGACGGTGAAATGTCAGTGGCTGCTGTCTAAATTCATACACTATGGCTAAAAATCACCAGTAATTAGTATCGTTTCCAAACTGAATATCCATCCGGCCGTCAAATATGTTTTGCAAAATAACTTGATATAAATTTATGCGGAATGTCCGTTGCAAAAGACAATGACCAAAGCGCAATAATCATGCTTCCTTTAACCTCCTTAAACATTCGAACAATAAATTGAAGCAAGGATAGATATTGAATATTTGTAGTTTATATAGAGAATTATGATTTGCCATGATGTACATGGTTTTAATTCGTTGGACCCATTTGGCCTTTTCTACTTCTTTCGCAATGTTCTGCATCTTGTCTTTCTAATCTTCGAGTCTTTATTTGAAATTATTACTTTGCTGTGCAGTAAAGAGGCTTCTGTCCAACAGATTCATTTACGAACAGAGCCCCTACTGGATTGGCTGTAAATTTACTAATCTGAAATCTGAAACCATAAAAATGAATAACATAGGTTTTAATAAATTGCACACTTAACCTTAGCATCAATTTGGCATACACATGTGTAGAAGACGTGGTTTGACTCTCATGCTTAGAAAACTGTATTATATGGTGAACTGTGTGGGCTTCATATTTCCCATTTTCGTAAATATACCCTTTAGATGAAATAGAATTGTTTACAAGCCTTTGCGTAAAAACTAAGCATTTTGAAAGGGCCCGTGTTTTCAATCTAGTTTGTCACAAGTCGTAAAAGGAGATCTTTATTGATTTGTTACAAATATATTAAAATCCTAACCATGGCTATCCACTCGCATTTTTCCTTCTTCTTTAAAATTTCCCTAACAAATTGAGAATCCCTAAGCAAATTTTTTATCTGCGGTCTAGTAAACACCAATAAAATTTATGATTACCTTGGCCTTTATTCCTTTTTACGTGTGCTTTTATTGACGTTGTATACTTATTCTGCAAAATGCGAATTCAGTGTCTAGTCTACACACCTGTGCTGGATCTGGCGGTCTTATTAAATAGAATAGCTGTATGATTTATTTATGCAGCAGTTGGATGTCTGTCTTGAATTCGCAAAAATCGATGCTTGAATTGCTACTAGTCCCATAATGCGCCTTTTCATATAAAAATGTGTCTTTCTTCTGTGCCTTTTTAAATATCACATTAATCGATTGTGGTTCAGGATCTTGGGAATTCGTATGCACTGGCTAAATTAAAACCCTGTTAATGCTCAAATGACTTGAGACTGGTTTGAAGTAAAATAATGCATGATTTAATTTAAAGAATGCTGCGTGTTTCCATTTGAAAAACCTAAAGTGTTTGCAGCATTCTCGCCGTGTTCTGTAGGATTATGCAGTATCACCAAAATGGTTACATATAGCACAGGATAGTCCAAGAATATACATGTTTTGCCTAGATAGTGTTTCTGCGCTTGTAGACATTTTGAAAGACATTTCTCATGTGAACAAAACTGCTCTGGTTTGTTTCCAGTTTTTTTTTCAAAGTGAATATTTTAATTTATACACTCGATTTTTTCAAGAAATTCGCACAACGTCTTTATTAGTATACAGCCAACACTACACACTCAAATGCTGTTTCATCTTGTCAGAAATTAAGGACGCACAGGGAAAGCTTTGTAGATTGGGAAATAAAGCCCTCGATTTCGTTGGGCTATTTCAAAACAACCGGTACCAATTTGCTAACGGTACTAATTGTGCATTTTACAGAAACGGGGCAAATGGCTTGATGTTACTTAGGCGGCATGATTGCGTCGAATTTTTAGATCTGGCGAGGAGCACCGGCTGCCGTGGAGGTCATAAATCAAATGCCCGCCCCGTGTGTACGCCAGATCAGTAAAACAATAAAAGGGGCCTGCGACGAGTCGGGGCTATTAATAGGCGTTGGGACATGAGCGTAGAAATAGACATGCCAAAATGGTTTGCATAAAGTGAGAAGATTTGAGTACTTCTGTTTTGATTCTGCCACACAAACGCATGGACCAGATGGGGACATGCATTGGCAGCCAAGAAATTGGCAGTCAGGTGATGTTAATTTCGAGGAAGTAGGCTCATACTCCGCTTTTCGAGTGCAAATTTGCCAATTCGAATATGCTTCGAGGTTTTGCTACTGCAGAATTATAAAATTATCAACCGATTTTTTTGAAATTACAGACGCATTTTATAGTTGTTCACTGAAGTTACAGATCTAGACGGAGATAAAGGGTTTATCGCTAGGTTACAGTTAATTCGTAGGGTCCACATTTTAGGATAAAACGAATTTTACTAAATTTGTAAAATTAAATAAAATACGCGTTCACAATTCTCCCAGGTCAAAAGCCGAAACCTGAAACATTCTGGTCATTTCTTGTGCTCCTTTAATGCAGCAATAATAGACATAGAATCGTGTTTGTAACGGTTTGAACAAGTCTCTGTTTTTTGGAAATTCCAGAGTTTACTAACTTTGCAATAAATTTTAGAAAGGACAACAAAGACGAACAATATTTTGTTAAAACTAAAAACAAACGGAAAGTTGAAGCAACCGCACAAAGGGCGCGCCAGACGAATAAAACAGCAAAGAGGGCGCAGGGGCTACTGTTTAGAACCTGAACATGTTTTAACCCAGGTCGCATTTTTGTCATTATTAAATACTGATGTGCAAATTTAGGAAAAAAGGATTGTAGACATTTGATCCGAACCTTAATTGCTAGTTGACAATTCTGACAGTAGCTCTGGCGATGTTTGTTTGGGCCTGACATTGGGTTTGTCACGCAAACACTCACATCTGTTTCCACCATGAGGCGTTGGGCATTAAATTATTCAAATTTTCCTCATTCTAGATGACTGAGGTAACACAACTTAACGAAGACTGCACGCGCCCCAAACTCCCCACGAGATAAAAATTTGCTTGAAACAGAACTGCCTCAAATAAAATTCTTTTGGTATTTTGCAAAGGACTTGTTGAATGTGGCCTCTCGCATTTCATGCAGTCTTCAACACACTCAACTCGCCGCATTTGCTCATAGTAAACACGGAGTTTTAGCCGGAATTAACAATTTGCAGAACGAGACTTTGTTTAAGTTCCCGACGAAATCGACGCGTCCATCTGCGTTGTTCAATATACATTTTGATCTCATTATGGGTAATTTTTGCATTGTTTTGCCATCATTTACAAATCTTGCCATGAATTTCGAAAAAGGGATTCCAGTAAAAACCTGTCGAATTTGTCAGCTTGAGGAGTCTGCTCTTTTCCTACTATCTTTTCCTTGCAGTAAGCACTACCTGCCCCCTCTAATCATGGTGTCTCTGCTCAAACAGACACATAGGAAACGTGTAACTGAAATCCAGAAGGCGAAATGTGTGAGTGTGCGTTTTACCGTAAAGAAATTACAACTTTTACTAAAAACGAGTTTAAAAGAGGAACGCACGGAACCTTTACCGTAGGCGGCTTTGCTTACTGGGTAAACAAGAATAAAATGGCGCTCAGTGGGCCAATCAGGTTAGGCAAGCTACTCGAGACGTGTAGAGATTGATTGTCGCACGACCCTTTTACTGTTTTAGTGGACTGGCGCTCTCCCGGACGGCGATTTGACTCAAAATTCACAAAGTCAGGTCTAGAAGTTCAACGCAAATCACGCCGTCCTGTTTAGTTGTTCGGCCTACTTAGCACTAACTGATTTGGAACATAAATTTACTTCTACACTAGAGTTGTGTTCGTTGTGTTTCGAGTCTGAGTTTCTGCAAACTAATGCCGTCCACGGTGTGGTTTGATTAACATAACGACGTGCGAATCATTCCCAAACCAACCAATCAATGAAGTGGTTTCGTGCGTTTTGTACGAAATCGTACAAGTTTGCGACTTGACAGGAGGGTGTGTTTAGATTAGGAATGTTTCATATCCTGGAAAATGACACATCAGCCCTCTTCAACCCAGTAAGCTTGCGTTGCTGAGGTAGGTGCATGAGGGATCAGGCAACTGTTGTCTAAACTTGAATTTTCTCAACATCGAAGACCCGAATACTGCATTAATGGGTTTTGAATGTGCGCGGTCGCACGTGGTTACGCCTGCACACCGTGGCCAATCAGCGTTGCCGCCCAAAAAACCAAGACGCTTAGCGTTGGTTTTAGAATCTTCCCTTGTCCGGTGTGAATCGACATTTTCGACTGTCTCTGTGCCAGGATTTAACCAGAAAACGGTGTCATTGAGGCGTGTTTGATGCGAAATTGACAGGGCTTTAACGTATTTCTCGTCGTGAATGGCAAAATTTGGGCCTGCCAACGACGCAGCACATTTTCTTTGAATTCCTTCTTCTAACCAAAGTTAGGCAAGTTAATTTACATCCTTGTTACAGGCT